CTGGTGTTTCTATGGCGACAGCTGTCTGGCCGCCTCAGGCTGATGTGGGTGTAACGGACTCAGAGGCAGTGACGCTTGTGCCCTAACACTCTGCTGCATCGACACCGAGCAGCACTTGCTAATGTTAGCTTAGAAGAGAAGTCCTCTACTCACTATCGCCACCAAGTGACAGGCTCCCAGTATAACACAGATCCAACACATCTCCACATCAGGGCAACAAGCTGACCTGAAGAGCTTCACACAGAATTCATGAATGATCTGCGCTTAGCGAGAAAGTCGCTGCAGCAGGACAGCACGATGGCAGAGCGACCGAGTGTTCCCTGCTTCAGTCCTCTGTGCCGCTAAACAAAGAAGCTGACGGCTGGGCTGGTCGCTCTCAGAGTTTCTGATTGGTTTACTTTTCAGCCTAATGTTCTCCTTCACCTGCACTCACATCTCTTTGGGCCAAACTGAGAGATCCAGTGAAAAGATATCGGATCAGCTCCCCATCTTTCATCTGCTTCACTTATCGTGGAACAAAAGCTTCGAATCAAAGCTGCGAGTCTGCGGTCACATTCATCAAACCCACTGTGTGTGTGTGTGTGTGTGACGTACGTCCATGAGCGCAGCGTTGATGTAGTTGGAGCTCTCCCCGTCGATGGTGATGAGGAAGGGCAGGCAGCGGTCTGGAGGCAGCACGTCCATGCAGCGGTTCTTCTCGTGGTTTCTGGGCAGCAGAGCGATGCTGCAGTCCTCGACTCGCAGCGTCGGCGTCACCATGTTCAGCGTCTGTGTGCGCACACACATGTAACAGGACACACCTGACACCTTCTTTCTAACATGTCATATTTTACTTTCTCAGACTTTGGAACATTATTATTTTCATTGATTTTGTTTAAGTTTTGTTAACGTTAATTTTGTTATTTGTAATCATTTAATTAGTGATTTAATTTTTGTCTTCATTTTTTTAAATGTCTTCAAGTTTTAATCTCGTTGTTTGTTTTCTGTAAGTTTTATTCATACAGCGTCAGTGTGTTGTGTCACCAGTTTGTTACCAGTTTGTTACTGGGTGTCTGTGGCACTTTTATTTTAACCGTGTCGTTTATTGTTGTGTATTTTTACTCGCTATCATGCTGCTGTAACACAAAAGCGTCCCATGTGGGATCAACAACGTATTCATCTAAAGTAAAGACGCTACAGCGACACAGAGAGAACAGTCATATGACCCCCTGTGAGCAGCACTTTGGCGACAGTGGGAAGGAAAAACTCCCCTTTAACAGGAAGAAACCTCAGACAGAACCAGATATTCAGACTGTATAATATGAATTTCTGGCTTTTATTTTGAAACTGCGGTGCAATGATGTCATCACTCAGAGCTGTGATGTTGTTTGATTATTTCATGGACGCTGGCAGGTTCGTGCTCTAAACGAAGCGTGAAGAATATTAACATGGTCGTCACGTTACCCTGAACTCCTCTTTGATCTGACTCGAGTTGGTCTGAGGATCCAATCGGTTCATCTCATAATAAACCGACCGCAGCTGACTGGCTGGAATCGCTGTGTCACCGCACAGACACGCCTCCAAAATGGCATCGTGGATGAAGACGTACTGCTCCTGGTAGACAGAGGAAGGTGGTCAGACACTGTTTAAATAAGCTCCTCCTCCTCCTCCCCCCCAGCTCTGACTGACGGGACGTCGGCTGCTGAAATGTCACTTCATAAAAGATTAATGTCAGCGCACGGCGGCTGGAGAACAGGCGAGTGACATTCAAAGTTAGAGAAGGTCAACGCGGCGTTCATTTCTGTCATTTCCTGTCAGTCAGCGATGAAGATGTGAGGAAGAGTCGGAGACAATGAAGAATGATCGATGAAACTTTGATCATGAATGAAGCTGAGTAACTGAGCATGTGCAGTTTGAAACGTTAAGTTTTTAGTAAACACGCAAAACAGGTGAGTGTTTACCTGCAGGTCAGAACACCTGCACA